GGATCCATTTTGTGCTGCTGGCTGGCACGCAGCTCAGGAGTAAATCTGCAGCTTAGGAGTGGAGTGCCACCTACCAAGCCATCTGCTAAGAAAATTATGTTATCTGTAGCTTGATCCACTGCTGCTAAAAATCACTGTGACACTCAGCTGTGAAGAGTTTTGCTGCTAATATATCCATTTGTACTCTTTTTATTTATCCACTCAGAATTAATTATTTCTCAGATTAATTTCATTCTAATGAATCATTCCGTATCGCTGGCTTTATTTCATCTCTGAGGTACTAATTAATATGTCAAAGCCATCTTTGACATTAAAAGCGCTGTCATTTTTGCCGTGACTTCTCTTTTGATTCATATATTCAATTTTTCTGCCCATCCGTGGAGCGAAAGAAAAAATGCAAGCCATACACTATAAAAAATGGTGCATGTGCAAATAAAGCATACATCAGTGGAGAGGGGAAAGTCTATATTTTCGTGTTGACGTGCTGGTTTATGTGTTGTTTCATACCTCAGCAATCAGTGTGGAGGGATCCTGCTGGTGGGGTATGGGGTTGTTCAGCTCCTGCTCTGACCCCATGATGGATATTTGCCTTTCATTTCTGCCTTCCTCTTCTGTCAAAAAAGAGCTTATAAAATCTCAGGGGCTGCAGCTGAAACCAGCAGCTTTGGTTTGGGTTTTACACTAGAAATGTAAGGAAGGAATGGTGGCATGGGAAGGGGATGTATGAGCAGAGCCTGGACTGACTGCTCAGGACCCGTGGGGAATGGAACACTGTTCCTTTTCTTTTACAGATTATGGTACTCCAAAAGAAAAAAAATATCCACACAATAGTGAATATTTAGGCCTTGTTATCAGTGCTTGGGGACGAGAAATCCTTTCTCTCACTGACTCTTTCTCCCTACTGATGGGTCTTCATCATACAAGAAGGAGATTGAGACCCTGATGTGTGGGTTGTTTTTTTTTTATTTTCTGCCTCTCATCTTTCCTCTGTGTTTTGTACTCACTGCTGTGCTTTGCCCATGGAATGCCCAACCATGACACTATCAATTCAGCCACGTGCTTTGCTGATCTTTTAAGAGAGTTCATACCTGCCGCTCCATTTCCAGAAGCTCTTGATTTTTCCGAGAAGGTTACATTGAGGCTAAAGTTATCTTGGCTTATTAGTATAACCAGTTATTTAGAAACTTGACAGCTCTTTCAGACATTATTTCTGCTAGCCTGCCTCAGCTGATTTGATGTTTAATACATCCCATGCATGCAGACTCAAGAAGTCAATCCTGAGAGTGACGTGAGTACAGTTTGTATCCACAGATTGTAATATTATTTTGTAAATCAAGCCGCCTTTCTCCAGCTTTTGTGTGTGTGCTGTTTGGTAGATTAAAGCACGTTTATCTCTGAACGCAAGCTTTGGATTTTGTTCAGCTCTGGCTCGGTCTTCTAGTAGCTAATTACTGTTTGGATTAAGATCATTTGGATCAAGGTGCTACTCTGTGTATTTTCAAAACTTCATGCCAACCCAATGGGTGGAGGAGCAACAGATGTTTTGTAGGGTGGTAGCAGAGACACACGAGATTTCCTTTCCTGGGTATTGCTTTCATTTCAGCATCGGTCAGCAGTGGTTGAAAAGCATTAAGCAAAATCAAGCAGCTGTTATGTGTGGGGGCATAGGGAAAATTAAACCTATTTTCTGTTTATTTCCGGGTCTCACACACCTGCACCACTGTCCCATTGCTGGCAGCTTTGGGCAAGCTCTGATCTGGACATGAGCTGATCGTTCAGTGCTATCTGAGGGCACATCAGCTAGAAAGCAACAAAAGGTAAATTCAACCCATCCTTTGCAGAAATGGCTCCCAGCGCTGTGCCAATCGGCTGCCTAATCCCACTGCTACATTTACCTGAACAATAATAAGGGTTTAATGGATCTCGCTTTTGTGCCTCACCTGGGTATGACTATTAAGTCATGAAAGTTTTAAAAGCTCACAAATTAGCTGAAGTGGCAAATGAGCACAGCAGGGTGCCCTGTTTGAAGGGGGAGGGTTTGAAACCTGCAGAGCTGTTTAAGGGGCTTTGCTGCGCTGTTATGGCCTCAGCTGAGCCAGACCTGAATTTCATCCACAAAATGATCACATGAAATTAGGGATGAGATATGAGAAAGACTGGCTGCTGGAATGAATATTGAATTAAATGAATGAAGAATGTGAGAATGTTCTCAGTGTCTTCTTATGAAGGCAATGTTCCCCTCATCCCAGGGCTTCTGCTCCAAAGCAGCAGTGTGCTGCATTTTCAGAAGATAAGTACATGCAGCAAATCTCACCTGTGCTGCGCTTTGAGGAGAAAAGGAGAAAAAAAACCCTCTAAATTATAAAAGGAAAGCTCAGAATGAGTTTAATTAGGCACCACTATTACTGAAAAACAAAGAATTCGCTTTTTGTCTTTTTCATCCTCCTTTGGGGATGAATAATGATTAAAGAACAGGATCATAAGAAGGAGGGATGAGACCTTGCTGAGAAGGAATTAAAAATGAGAGAAAGAGAGCAGGGAAGGGAAAACAAGCATCTTAGTTAGCTAGTCAGGGTTAGTTTAGCACTGTATCCACACTAACTGACATTATGAAAAATTATAGCTGGCATATAAGCAACTTCACTAATGCTGAAACCCAGGAAATGCATCCTGACAACTTAGTGAACTTATTTGCTCTTCTCGGAGGTTTTAACCCCCCCACCCCATGATGTTTATCTTCATTTTCTGATACATTTGTTTGAGGGGAGGTTATGACACAAAGGTAGCAACTTGCAAATCATTGTGTTCCTCTGCTTCGTTGGCTCTCGTGGCTCAGGTAAGACAGAAAAATCCCTTCTGTAGAATGAAAGGGTTCGAGATGTAACCGCTCTGCTTTCAGTACGTACTGTTGAACCGGAGTGATTTTTGTAAAGAAGAAAACACGATCTGAAAAGACACATTTTTGCGGGCAGAAACGAACGGATTTTCTCGTGCAGACAGAAGGGGAACTGCCCAGAGCTGACATCTGCCGTCAGGAGGTGCAGCTCCGGGGCTGTCGGCAGCTCCCAGAGCCGCGGTTCTGCTGTTCCCACTCCTGCTCTGGGACATCTGGTCAGAACCCGGCTCCTCAGGCATCGGAACGCCCTGAGAAAATCACCCTTGAGGTTTTTCCCTGCCGATATGTAGAGACAGCGATGCCCTCCGTCTGCTACAGAGATCCAGGTTTGAAGTTTGCTCGTGGATTTTCTCTGAACCTCTTCAGCGGTGATCTCAAGGACCCGTTTCCCGGAGCCGCTTCCTGCGGTTCCTCCCGGTCCTCTCCCCGCCGAACCGGCCAAGCTGTCCGGGGGAAGCGGCGGGGCGGGACACCCGGAGCATCCCTGCCCCGCGCCCCTGGGGCTGCCGTGCGCTCCGCTCCGGCGGGGGGGCGCGGGGCCGCGGCCGCCCAGGAGAGGGAGCCCGGTGGCCGCGGCTGCGCCGGGAGCCGCGGGGGCGCGGGGCGGCGGGGAGGTGGCGCGGAGCGGAGCGGGGGGCAGCGGAGCGGAGCGCTGCCCCGGCTGCCGACCGCCGTCACCCCGCTCCGACCCGAGCATCCCGCTCCGGTGAGTACCCTGCTTTGCCGGGTGCCGAGCGTGCCCCGGGCAATCCGTGCTCCCCGGGCTATCGGTGCTCCCCGGGGTTTCGGTGCTCGCCGGGGGTGCCTCGGCCTGCAGCCCGCCGCCTGCACCGCTGCGAGCATCGCCCAGCCATAAGTTGGGTGCCGGTACTTACTTTACGCGTCAATGAATGGGACTCGGCTGGCTCGCAGCGCCGAGGCATCGCGCAGCGTCCCGCAGCTCGGCGGGGCAAAGTGATCCCGCGTGCGCTCAACTCCCGCAGCCCGGCTTTACTCCTGCTTATTCCCCGAGAAAGCGGAAAAATCGGGGAGAAGCGGCCCAGGGGAAGTTGCGTCCGACCGACGATGTGAAAGCAGGAGAAGGGGGGCTGCTCTGTGCCCTCTGCGTGCCTTCACCCTGTCCTTCTCTTATCTTAATCCTTCAGGAAGGAGAAGCCGGACGGACAGAGCTCTCTCAGGGGCGATGCTGCCGAGCCCTGCCCCCGGCAGGAGGAAGTCTGTGCCGCCAGGGCCGCCCTCCCGGGCGAACGGAGGAAAAGCCCCCGGCACCGGAGATGCGTGGCCCGGGAGAGCGTGAAGAGCTGCTCCGCCTGCGCTGTTATTAAAGGGAAAAGCATGCTAGAGACGGCTGCTCCGACGGCCGGAGCGCAGCCCCTCTGAGCAGGAGGTGAGAATATCCCGTGCTGTCATGGAGAGCTATAACCTGGCAGAGAAGCACTAAAGCCACTCGTCCCTGCTGGAAGAGGAACCACTCTTGGCACCACCGCCTTCGTGCAGAGGGGAGCTCACTCAGGTCCTTCCTCCTTCTCTCTCCCTCCTTTCACCCTTCAGAGAACGACAGAAGAAAGAAACAACTGCGACTTGGCTCTTGCTGGTGCTGGGAATACCGTGCCTTTTGCCTGGGATGATTCCCTCTGACGGGATGTACAAAGCGCCACCGGGACCGAGCCAGCCAACAAAGTTTGCAGAGCAGTCTATGGGGTCTATGGGATGGAGGTAGCCGGGCACACGCTGACGGGGTCCGTCACACACTGCCCACCAACGCTGCCCCACTGCTCGCTGCAGGACTAACTCCTGGGGACTAAACTTTGGCAGCTCCTGCATTGCCGATTGACGCTTTCAGGGAACAACACATGCCTGCACCTGATGCAATGTTGGGTTTGTTTGTAAGATTTGCTATGCAATTCCAAACCTAAATGAGGAGAAGAGGCGGCCCTGCGTCCCAGAGCAAATAGAAGCGAAGCTAAAAGGTAGGAGCAGAATTTCTCATTTCAATAAAACTAAATAACCTGAGCTACTTCTTACTGAAAACCTTTAAAACACACCTGCTGTATGCTTATTTCCTTTGTCTCTGGAAGTGTAAAACTTGAAACAAAGTGAAGAATTGCTCGCTGATGCTGCCCAGAAGCAAGGAACTGGTGGATTTTGTAACAGGAGTGTGCTGAGGAGGAAGGATGGGGTGTTTGATCAGTGGGACATTTAGGGAACCAAAGCAGAGGAAAAGCACCTCATACAGCACGCATCAGTAAATATGAAGGGCTAGTGCAATGGACGCTGGAAACACTCGATCAATAGTCTATTTAAGTGGGAATATATGCAAGCATGAAAAAGTGATTGCTTTCCTGTCTGTGGGGTATATTCGCAGAGGACAGCAGCAGAACATTTGCAGGTGAGCTGTCTGAATTAGGCTGCTTCATGCTGAGGTGGTGCAGTGTGTTCTTGAAGGGATTGCTTAAAAACCCCTCTGTGGAGGTGACTGTATCTGTGCATTTTCAGTTCCTGCTCATAGAGCTTTCAATGTCGTTCAGGGAGATTCAGAGTGGATGAAGTCCATCTGGGCTTGAGGGGACCGTAACCAAGAGCCTTTGGTCTGTTCGGACGTCTCATGTCTGCTATCTGTAAGGAAAGGAGCTGATGTCGTCATGAAAATCATGATGTGATTTTCCCTCAGGAGAAACTATGACTTGGAACGACACCACTATGGATGGGGAAGGGTTGCTTGTGGAAAGGGACTCTTCCTTTCGGATCCTCACGGGCTGCTTCCTCTCGCTGCTGATCCTCTCCACACTGCTGGGAAACACGCTGGTCTGCGCAGCTGTCATTAGGTTTCGCCACCTCAGGTCCAAAGTGACCAACTTCTTTGTCATCTCCTTGGCCGTGTCAGACCTCTTGGTGGCGGTTTTGGTCATGCCTTGGAAAGCCGTGTCTGAGATCGCTGGTTTCTGGCCTTTTGGTTCATTTTGCAACATCTGGGTGGCCTTTGATATTATGTGCTCAACAGCCTCCATCTTAAATCTCTGTGTCATTAGTGTGGACAGATACTGGGCCATCTCCAGCCCATTCAGGTATGAGAGGAAAATGACCCCCAAGGCAGCCTTCATCATGATCAGTGTGGCGTGGACTTTGTCGGTGTTGATTTCCTTCATCCCCGTGCAGCTGAACTGGCACAAGGCTACAACCACGAGCTTTTTGGACCTGAATGCCAGTTTACAAGGTATAAGCATGGACAACTGTGATTCTAGCCTAAACAGGATGTATGCCATCTCCTCTTCTCTAATTAGCTTCTATATACCTGTGGCCATCATGATAGTAACCTACACAAGGATATACCGGATTGCTCAGAAGCAAATACGACGAATTTCAGCTTTGGAGAGAGCAGCAGTGCATGCCAAGAACTGCCAGAACACAAGTGGCAACAGAAGCAGCATGGACTGTCAGCAACCTGAGAGCAACTTCAAAATGTCCTTCAAGAGGGAAACAAAGGTTCTAAAGACTTTGTCAGTGATCATGGGGGTGTTTGTGTGCTGCTGGTTGCCATTTTTCGTGTTGAACTGCATGATTCCCTTCTGCGAGCCCACCCAACCATCCAAGGGAGCAGAAGCTTTCTGCATTAACTCCACCACCTTTAATGTTTTTATTTGGTTTGGATGGGCTAATTCTTCCCTAAACCCCATCATTTATGCCTTCAATGCTGATTTCCGCAAGGCATTTTCCACCCTGCTAGGATGCTACAGGCTCTGCCCGATGTCCGGCAATGCTATAGAGACTGTTAGCATTAACAACAATGGAGCAGTTGTTTTTTCAAGCCAACATGAGCCCAAAGGGTCCAGCCCCAAAGAGTCGAATCTAGTTTATCTGATCCCACATGCAATCATCTGTCCGGAAGAAGAACCTCTAAAAAAGGAAGAGGAAGGTGAACTATCTAAGACCTTGGACAAAATGTCTCCAGCATTGTCGGGTATTTTGGATTATGAAGCTGACGTTTCTTTGGAAAAGATCAACCCCATTACACAAAATGGGCAGCATAAAACCTGAACAGTAAGGTGTACCCAGCAAAACATAATAGTGTACAATGTGATAATCTTTAAAAAAAAAAAGATATAATTTTTGTTATGAAATAAGCTCTAGGAAGAAGTACACATTTACGTAAAGCCCTGAATGAATTTTCCTGGCATTAAATTTAATATTTAAAACACTAAACAGCAAAAAGGTACTGAAAATTGGTTAAAAAGTGGATATTAAACTGTGCTGTTCATACTGAGGAATATACACAAGTTTGGATACAGTGCAGTGATAAAATACTGCTTCTCCTCTGCACCCAGAGAGGCCAATTTCTTGCTTGAAGTGAGGCAAAAGATAAATGTTAAGTATTTAAAGATTCATGTTTACTAGAATATAAAGGATTGCTGTGTCTTGTGATAGTGGGTGTTAACAGGTCCTAATTAAAGGCTGAGGGATTGTAAAGGGAGGTAGAGGCCTTCTTAAAATTATTTCTGAAAAAAATAATTGAGCCTTATAACAAGAATGGTTATTTTTAAAGCTTTGGGAGTTAACATGTTGATACTGGTTTTATTTATTTATTGTTTTAAATTGATATTTTTCATATGTTATTACAGATCTAGCTTTATTTATGTTATTTAAGATGTCTAAATGATGGGATATTTTTGGAGTGTCATTACTGCATTGTGGCCAGACAACCAGTCAGCACTTTATGAAAGCCCCGATGGCCTCGAGAGCTGTGAGGGATGGAAGAAGGCTGAGAAGCTCAGCAAGAGACCAAGGAATCAACAGAACTGATGTGGAGTGGAGCTCGTTTCCTTATGGGCTTTGGTTTTTAAGTGGGATTTCTTTCAAAAGATAGGATCGGCGTTGACTGAGTTGTGAATTCTCTTCCCTTTTACAAATAACAAGAAATTGCTGCTATTTATTTTTTAAAAAGTTTCATGTTACAAAGACTTTGCTAGAATGTCAAGTTTGTGGATCTGTACAGACCTTAAGTACGACTCCAACCTTAAGGAGAATCCAATTTGAGAAGAAAAGCTACTTAGGTAACAATTCGTAGTATAATAACATTTTGTATTTATGTAAGATAAACAGCTTTCTCAGACTTTTCTTATTCCAAGTCTTGGATATCTTTTCCGAACAAACACGATTGGTTTTATGGTAGTAAACATGCCAAATCTCGTTACCATCTGTATTATTTCTTGCAGCACCACTGGGATCATGCTGTCTGTCTGCTCTCAGTCTGAGTTCAAGTGGGCACGCAGTGCTTTGCTTTGGAGGCCAGGAGGACGTTACATTTTAGTAATTCCACATCAGTAGTCCCTTCAAATAAGGAATAGTGCCTCATTACTGATTTGAATTAAGACTTTTCTAACTATGGATGGAACTGCAGCCCCCACCTCAAAAATGCCCCGTGAGCTCCAAAACAAAGATGCCAGTGTTTAATTCAAAAACTGCCGTGGTCCTTCCCTGCTGCTTTCCCTCTGTAATGCCCAAAGTGAGCAGTGAACGTTAGCGACAGGAACACTGGGAGTCAACATTCAGCAGCACTCCAAGACAGAGCTTCTGAATGGGCACAGATACCCTTTGGAGAAACTTTTCATAGTATATCAAAAAAAACAAAACCAAAACAAAAATGTTGTCAGGAAAAGAGAACTGAGAGGAAAAAAAAATCTCAAAGTCTAATGAACTATATACATCCTGCATCAGGTCTGTGTATTTATGTATCGTGAATGTTTTCATAACTTTATTGCCTGTAAGCTGCTTTCATACATATAATAAAATTATTTTGTGAAAAGAGGGTCAAATAAAGCAATCTACATGGCATTTGTTAAATACATGCAGTTGTATGGATCATGTTAAAGGCGGGGATGGTTTCTGCTTTTGTTTGCCCTCATTTGGGATCACACCAGGGAGGCAGATGGGAATTCCTATTAGAAGCAGGAGAAAGTCCTCAGTGCTGTGGGCTCTCAGTCCTTCTCTCAGCTGGGGTCTGAAACAACCACGTCCTGCTGGAATGTGACCAGGTGAAATGTGCAACGGTAGATTTATTGGTGACTCTTACTTCGGTCAATTTGCCTTGGTTTAATAGACTGGGGGACTTTGTTTATAAGGCACTCTTATTGTTGCTTTTTGAATTATTTTTTCTTTCTGAGCCACTTGATCGAATCCCACCACCAGTACTGTTTTGGATCAAAATGAGTTGTTTTAGGAGTGATAGCAGAGTGGGGCTCAGCCAAAGGACAGAAGCATCAATTTGTTAACAGCAGCCTGGCACTTTGCTTTCAGCTTTGTCAGCAGGTTCATTTTGACATGAAGAAAAAAAAACCAAACCTACAGAAAAAACCTGTGGTCGCTTCTGCATTACCAACATGATGCAGCTGGGATTGGAGTGGGTGCAGGGGCTGCAGTCATGCCCCTCCCTGGTGCAGAAACATGATTTAAGAAGAGCATGTAAAGCAAGATGCTGGCTTCATTCTAGCTGGTTCAGAGCTGATATATGCTCTGTGGTGTGAGCAGTGGCCATCCCAGCACCTCCCCACCTGTGGCTGGAGCAGAGGGACAGATCTGTGGGGAACATTCTTGTTCCCCTCAGTACTAAGGGCCAGGCAGGATGGACTCTTCTGCATTGGTTTATTGCCATCTGTCCCTCTATTTGAACAATATTTGCTTCCAACTCCTTTCTCCTGCATATATTTTACAGTACTAATAATACTTTGGATTTTCATTTATCATCATACCCCCCTTTTCTTGCTCCTTTTCAGGTCCCTTTACCTGTCACCTCCTTTCTTCCCACTCCTACCAGAGCCCTCCTGCTGCCCTCCCTTGGCTCTGTAATACTTTGCTGGGAGAAAGTCCATCCCCACACCCTCCCCCAGGACTCCCCTTGCTGCACCCAGCGGTGCCTCCTACCTGCTGTGGAGCCAGAGATCAGGGCCAGGACCAGCAAGAAGGACCAACCTGCTGCCACCCTATTTATGTGTGCCCTAACCCTCATTAACTGCCCCACAGCTGTAACCTGCTGCTTGGAACTGGTGTAACCTTCCCTTCTGCACCACTTCCTCGTGACTGAAGGTATTTTTCTGTCTGTAGATGGAAGAGGTTAATGATTAACCCCATGGCCTTGATGAAGGAGCTGTTAGCAGTGAGCGAGCCAGAATCACTACATTAAATCTGAATACATTTCTCCCGTCCCTTGGCAAGTGTGTTATGCTAATTTGGGTCTCTGACTTCACAAACTGTACAAAAGATAGGAGATGGGAGAGTAAATGCCTTTGCTGATGAACAGCTTTAATAACATAGTTACTGGGAGACGGTCCTGGATTATTTCAAATGAATAATTTTCAGAAGCACCCAAATCTGATTGCAATCTCAAACAACTGCTTTGAATAGCATCTCGACAGGCAGCTCTTTCCAGTAATACTTTGGTTTTTAGCATAATGACAGTACAACATGTTCTCAGTGATGTCACTTATGTGGCCACACAGCAACTGTAACTTGAAGAATAAGAACAGTGCCATTCCATAACTGTTCTATTCCAACACGATCCCATAACTCTCAAAAGATGAACATTGTGCGGGGTGTCCCAGGTTTCCATCAGATTTCTTGTGTCTGTCAAGTCAGCAATTTCCCTTTAAACTCACTGGATTAAAAGAGATCTCACCCCACACGAATGAAATCGCTTCTGGGTTTTGAAATTGCTCAGTGAAAGGTGTTCTAAATTAAAGGTGTTCAAAATTAATTTATTGCACTGGGCTGGATGGGCCTTGGGCAGCCTGATCTGGTGGGGGGCAACCAGCCCAGGGCTGTGGTTGGGGCTGGGGGGCTGTAAGGTCTCCTCCAACACAAAGCTTTCTGTGATTCTATGATTTTGCGCATGTAAAAAGTTTTCTGCAATAAGAGGACAAATTCTGCTGAGAAGAATGTCATGCAAAAACTTTCAGCCCTATTTCTTTCTTGCTTGAGGGGATGTAACGTAGCAAAAGGTGGCCTGGGAAGCACGTGGCATTGGTAAAAGCAGCTCCCTGCAAACAGCGGGATGCAGACGCAGATGTGCTCCCAAAAACCTTGAAATTTCAGTGATTTAAACCTGGGTTTTTCACTGACCTGAGTTCAGAAGAGCAGTTTTCTGTATCCAGGCTGCAGCGCTTTTCTCCCTGCCTGCTGGGGCCTCCTGCTGCTTTTCAGCAAATTCCTTCTTCCTCCTTCCACAGCACTCTATACAAGTTCTGTCTGTTCTGCCTCATTTTCCCTTCCCGATGAGGATAAACTGTAGGGATGTGGTTTGATCTGAAATAACAAACACTTTTCACCCCCCCAGCAGCTCCATTCCTTGTCTCCACCCCACCTGTCCCGGTGCAGTCACGCTTCAGCAAATAGAACACAAACAGTAGTTATCAACCTTGGCATCTGGGGGGGGAGAAATGCCATTGGGACAGGATTCCCACCCTCCCGCAGGGTGTAGCCCAGGACAGGAGTGGTATAGGGGTGGGCAAGGGGCCCTGCGGAGCCCCATTGCTGCTGCTTTGCAGTGGGACAATAAGGGAAACGCTCTGCATGCCACAGGCAGCAATCAATGGTGCGTTCAATATTTCAGTCACTTTCTTTTGCAAAATGACTGGTGATTCCTTCCCACCCCCATTGGCTGGCTGTGCTCAGAATTAGACACAGGAAGAGATCACCAGTGAAACCCTGGGGGCTGGCAGCAGCAGAGGGCTGGGTTGGGTTGGGATGGCTGAGGAGAAGTTTTTCTGTTCCCCCATCTGAAAGGGTTTCTGTCATTCTGGAGAAGCTATTTCTGGGCTCTGAGGTGAGGGTTTCCTTTTTTTGGGCCTCATTTCTTGCAAAGGGCTCCCTTAGTTTGAGCCTGACGTGCTTTCCCTCCTCAGCTGGCAGTAACTGAGCTGGATGGGGCTCTGAGTACCTGATCGAGCTGTAGATGTCCCTGTTCATTGCAGGTGAGTTGCATCAGATAACTGTTAAAGGTCCTTTCAGCTCAAACTATTCTATGATTCTGTGATAAATTTGGCATCTTCTTGCTGTGCTGCTTCTTCAAATAGATGCTTAGCTGGATCCATAACTCCAGTACACTAAGCAGACTAATTGTTTCAGCAGCTAAGCTAATCAAAATGACCCTTACACCTTTACTCCTTAAGGAAAGTAAGAGAATGATTTGTGATACTGCAGAGCAGTTTCTCAGTGTTGAAGTTATCTGAGGTTGGTATGAGCCACGCCTGCTGTCTGCAGCAATGCACGGTTCCACTGTTGTCATGGCTTGTGTATGCAGTGCATGGAAATGCTGTGCAGGAAAAAGAAACGAGTGAATGGGTCTCATGATGTACGATCTGCTCAGGATAGACCTGAATATTCACAGTGCTAAGGCAAATGTAAATGCCAGGTTTCTTCCTGGCGTTGTCTCCCTGGATAAGAGGAGCTATAGCAGGAGCTGATGCTGGAATATCACTGCAAACTCTGATTTTATTCCTTCTGCAGCCAAAATGAGGCCATGGAGGCTGCCAAGAGGCATACT